AAATCGCGAGATCTAAAAAAAAAAAAAAAAGAAATGAAGAGTATTCACAAATTTACTCTCCTTTACTCTACAAAAAAGCGACGATAAAAAAAAAAGCTTGGTTGATTTATTAATCGAGCGAATAAAAATCAAGCGTAGTCGTGGACGATGGGCGCGCGAGCGGAAAGCAATCGTCTCTCTGAACCGCGCGAATCCGTCGGCGAATGAGTCAGAAGATAAGTTTGTTGTTAGTCAGATAAATAGATTAACACCATTGTGACGATCGTTCTTTTTGCACCGTGGCGGAACAGGATACGAGCGTGCTGCGTGCTCGACGATCTCGACTTTACATGTGCGAGCCCCGCTGCACCGGGTGAAATTGCACCCGGAAGCGGACCGGTACGCACGATGCAATTGGACAAACGAATTTTTCACGGTAGAGTATGTTAAAGAAATGACGAAACGCTACGTTTCAACGTAGCGTCGACGTCTACTTTTTCTTTTTTTTCTTTTACAGATGCATTTATTTATTTATTTTTTCTCTCTTTAAGTTTTTCTTGAAATATATTCGTATTAAAAATTACAGAGATGGATGAGAAAATAGCGCGGAATAATTTTAATCCACGTGGCTCGGAATCGATCAACAGGTTTTCCAACTTGCTGGACGCAATTTAACGCACGCGTGTTCACTTCCTTTCAAACTGCGATTACTATTCAGTAAAACATACAAAGATATAAGTTTTATATAGTAAACTGATGGAAAAAAATTGCAACTTTATCCACATTATGATAAATAGACATTATTTGCAATTCAATGCTGGAATAACCATTCCATATATTTACTAGTAATTAAGAATACAAATTCATTCCTCGCGAGATACCAATAGATCGCTTATCTTTCGTTATTTTATTTATTTATTTTCTTTTTTTGAAAATTTTTTTTTTAACAAAACGGAAGGAAACACTCTATAGGATAAGAAATCGACGATTCTTGAAGAACCTTAACCTCGAGGATAAAAGATGGAAAATTTACGATTCGCTTGGCAGATTCGCTTCCTAGTCCAGAGGGTAACATAATTAGTCGTTAGCTTACGTCAACTTGTCCCAGGCTAGAACTACCGCGATCTAAATATATCGAAATACGACTGCCACACGCTGCAAAAATCAAACAACGAGATATTCCAATCGAGAAACAATCGAGCTTAACGCAACTTTCTTAGAACGAAGCAAGTATTTCCTCGATCGTTTGAAAAGAGGGAAACGTTTGAGGAACGAGTGAGCACCGATATATATACGTTTTACTCCATCGTCGATGTAAATAACGAGGCGCGACTTTCCGTTGGTTTCGTGACGTTGGAGAGTAACGTTGACACACCTGCTGCGGACTAATCGATACTTTAATTATCCTAAACGTTACGTAATGGAGAACCTGATATGAGATACCAGTTATATATACGCGTATTCTTTTCGGATTCGAAGAAATCGTTCCCAAGAAGTCGATCATCTTCGAGGAAAATAGGGATCGAACAACAGCGCTTCCGTCGAACGGTTAGAAGTTGTCCAGGTGTATGCAGTTGTACAGGTGTACGTGATACTGTGTACCGCGTTAAAAGTGTGACATAATGCAACGAGTTTTGACGCCGAGTTGTCTACGTGTACGATGTCGCGGTCGTCGCTAGTTTTAGACGCGAGCAATGCCAACCAATACACGGTCGAAGAGTGGATTTCGGCATAGCCGTGAGAAGAACGGCGTGATTCGCTGTTCCATTGACTCGACACGTAGGAAATATGTTAAAGATTCGTGTTGAAGGTGGCTGACTGACATTCAAGAATGACATTTTGAAATTCTCAAAGTCGAATAATTCGAATACTCGCATCAATGACGAGCGAGGAATCAGAGTTCAAGAGTTTGGAATATAAACACGTAACATTTCACAAGAATAAGGGGAATAACATTTTAAAATTCTTCAAGACGGATTACTCGATGAACAAATGAAGAATCTAAAAAATTTGGAATCGATTATAATTTCGTCTGGAAGATGACGGAATCTTGAAATTTTCAAATAATTCGAACAATTTTCGTCGATCACAAGTTCCACGGATTTTCTTTTTGACACTCGAATTTTTGAAATATTATTAGCTACACGGATTGTACTACTATTGTTTATCCATTTATTATTCGTTATTCGCTCTCTATTCTGGCTGCAAGAGTATATGGGTTAGGGCCAGGTCTATCGTTTCTCACCCACGCACCCGTTTCTTTTCCCTTGATCAAAGAGGAACGCGTACAAGCGAGCGTATTCACACTTGGTCTCGGTCTTGTTTGAACACGAGTGTTTGAACGGTATGCTTCTTAAGCTCGTGATATCAGATAAAGGAAAAACGTGCGTATAAAATACATACACACACGCATACACACACACATATATATATATACAGATCGATTTGGAAAAATTATAATACCAGCGAAAGCCGATGAAATATGCTTGACGAATTATCAGGAAACATCGCAACACCTGTT